TCTGTTCTGACCTGAAATTCGTGACTGTTTTGGGTCTAGTCTAAGGGAGCCTTCTCGGCAAGAGAGGGACAAAGCAAGAAGAGGGATCCAGCTTACTAACACGCGTCAGGTCAGCAGTGCTTTTATCGAAGTTATTGAGGAAAGTGGTAAACAAGACAGAGCACAAATCCTCTGGGTGCTTCATTGGAGGCCTCCTTCTACACTGACATTGAATCACTAACAACCGTTCAGTTCTAAATTCATCAAACTGCATTATCCTGTGGTCTAAATCTCTCCATCTTCTCCACCAAATAGTATGAAATATCTTGTCAAAACCCATACTCAAATCTTCAGATTTTTTTTTTGTCATATCCAACTCTTCGTCACCCAATTTGGGGTTTTCTTGGTAAAGATACTGGAGTGGTTTGCCATTTTCTTCTCCAACTTTACAGTTGAGGAATCTGAGGCAATCGGGGTTAAGTGACTTGCCCAGAGTCACACAGCTAGTAAGTGCCTGAGGGCAGATTTGAACTCAGGAAAATGATGAGTCTTCCTGACTCCACTGTGCTACCTAGCTGCCCAAATCTAGGTAAACTATATCCACAGCATTCCCCATTATCTATTAGTTTAGTAATCCTGTCAAAAAAGAAAATGAAGTCAATATGACATGACTTGTACTGGATGGACTTGGGCTCAGCTCTTTGTAAGCATCAGTTTCCTTTATGGATGTTCCTCAGCAATCTCCTGAATGATCTGTTCTAGAATTTTCCAGCAACTGAAGTCAAGTTCACTGGCCTATGGTTTGCAGACTGTTTTCTTCCTTAAAAAACACACAAAACAACAAAAAAAAAAATGGACTGTCACCCTTCTCTAATTTTGTGACACCCCTATTTTCCATGATCCTTCAAATATCACTGATAGTGGCTCAGCAATCACATCTGCTGCCAATTCTTTCAGTACCTAAATAAAGACATAGTCCGTCTGGGCCACGTGACTTCAAATCCATCAATGGCTGCTAAGTGCTTTCTTACTATATTCTATTTATCTTGGGTATCCACTCTCTTTTGGTGACAGTCTAAGGGCTCTTCCAGCTTTCAGTCCTAGGATCCTAGGGACAAGGGTTCTATCTGTCACTCAAAGGTCCTTAGCACTACTTTTTTTTTTTGTGGGTAGTGGGTGTGGGGGGGGGGGATTCTTCACTTCTCTTAACTTATAGTCCCACACAGAAAACTTGGGGGAAAGTACACTGGGGTGTGTGTGTGGTCCCAAATACAGGTAAATCCAGTCACAGTCCCCAACATAAGGCTCCCCTGTCAGAAACATGGCAGATTAATAAAACGTTTATTGAATTCTTGCTTAAGTGATTAAACTGATATGGGATGTGTGCTAGCGTCTCATTTAAACCTAGATGTACTCGCTAACTTTTCTCTGACCAGCAACTCTTGCATGATATTAAGGAAGAAAGCAACCAGTGGCAGAGGGAAAAAATTCCTAGTATCTTTGTCTTAGTTTTAGCCACTTCAGTTTATCATCTGCTGGCAAAACAGAAACGAGAAGCCTTTTATTCCTCCCTCATTGCCTCTTTATCTCTCTCCCCCCACAGGAGCAATTCCCAAACCTTGCGTTCTGTCCTCAAGCCTCCCACACCTCTCCCTCCCTTAGCCCTGTCTGCCTCAACTGAGGACCTTGCTTCAGGAGTTCCCTCTTCTATCACTCTTCTTTTCAAAATCCCAGGCTGATAATAAGGTGGCCCTTCTTGCCAAGGACAACCCCTCTACATACTTTGATCCCACTCCATCCTGATTTCTCCAACAGATCATCAATAATCTTTTCTTCCCTCCCGCCACTGTCTCAGCTTCCACCTCTCCCAATTTATTGGTTCCTTCCCTGCTGCTTACAAAAAAGCCTGTCTCCCCAATCCTTAACAGATCTTCACAAAACTCTCCCATTCCACTCAAGCGATTGAGCTAGTTCTTTCTTAGCCAAATCCCTCGAAAAAAAGTGGGTTGCTTCCACTTCCTTTCCTCTCATTCATTCACTCCTCAATCCTTCCCTATCTGGCTTCCAACCTCATCACTCTATGGAAACTACTTGGTCCAAAGTTACCCATGACCTAGCAGTCATTGCCAAATCTGATGATCTTGTCTCAGTCTTCATTCTCCTTGCTATCCACTGAATTTGACGTTATCAGTACCCTCTCTTCAATAGGATTTTGTGACATTCCTCATTCCTGGTTGTCTTTCTGATTGCTCATCAGCCTGCTCTGCTGGTTTATCATTCATATCACACCCCTAACTGTGGACACTCCCTAGGTCTCTGTCTTGGGCCTTCTCATCTCTCTCTGCATTCTCAAGACCACCTCAGCAACTGTAGGTTTAATTTTCCCTACTCGGATGACTCTAGGATCGATATACTTTCTAGTCTCTCTGGCTTGTAACTGTTCTCCTTCACCCTACATATCCAGCTGGTTGCCAAACCTTGTTTCTACCTCCATAACATCTCTTGCACTTAAATCCTTTTTTTTTCACTCATGGCTACCATTTTAGATCAAGACTTCCTGTCCAATATCCTAATTGGTCCCCTTCCTCAAATCACTCCTCACTTATTAATCTCCACACAGTGCCTGGAACATAGGCATTTAATGAATGCTTGTTTCCTTCTTTCCTTGGACAGTCCTTTAGCCACTGGGGTTGTCGGACACCTGGATGAACAGGCATCACTTAACTCTGATAATTCCACCCATTGCAACAAGGAGGTGAACTTTGTATTTTTTAAGATGAGCAACCTGAGGACCAGCTCCAATAGAAACAGAACAAGCTAAAAATTGGAATACAAGTCAACCTTTAACATGAGTCTTCCTTAACTAAACAACATGTTTTGGTTTTGTCCCCCCTCCCCCAAGCAGTGGGGTTAAGTGACTTGCCCAGGGTCACACAGCTAGTAAGTGTTATGTGTCTGAGGCCAGATTTGAACTCAGGTCTGCCTGAATCCAAGGCCGGTGCTCTATCCACTGCGCCACCTAGCTGCCCCTAAACAGCATGTTTAAATTAATAAGTAACAACATAAGCATTTGCTCAGTTCCTCTGGACGTACCCTTCCCTAGGTGAAACTTTGCGGAATAAGTTTCTTACCAAACTTAAAATTGTCGTTCTTCCTATGATCAGGAAAGACCAAGTTTTTGTTAGCCTATACTATGACCCCTACCTGTGGTAGGGTTGGGTCTTTTTCTCTATTTTTGAGTGACCTCATCAGCTCCCGCGATCCCTTCCACAGATAGCTCCCAGATCTAAATATTTAGCCTTAGATTCTCTTTTGACCTACATTCCCATGTCATAAACAGCCTGTTGGACATCTTGACCTATATGTTCTTTCAACACCTCAAATCCAACACGCTAAAAACAACTCATCTGTCCCCAAAGCCCAGCCCTATTACTCAACTTGCCCGTTTTTCAAGGCCATTATTATTCTAGTCACTCAGGTTGCAGCTTCACTGTAAATCAATTCCTCAGGCTCCCTGACCCCACAGAGCCAATTATTTGCCAATTCTATTGACTCTACTTCTATGGCCCTTACGTCCTCTTCCCTCTATACCCACAACCACAGTTCAAGCTCTGGCCTCTTGCTTGGACTATTGCAGGAGCCTCTTCATTTGCTTCCCTGCCTCAAGCCTATCCCTACTCCAGATCCACCCTCCACACAAGCTGCTAAACTAAGTCATCTCCTTAAGGTTCAGGTCTGACCACGTCACTCCGTAACTCAAATTCCAAGAGCTAACCATTGCGTCTTGAGCCCTTCACAAACTGGCATTTTCTTATTTTACAACAATGTTCTATGTTGTCTATACCACTTTCCACATGACATTCCATCTCCTGATTTCATTTATGCCTTTCCCTGCCGTCCCCCATGTTTCCCTACTTTTAACATCTTCAGAGTTGATAGCTTCCTTCAAAGGTCAGCTCTAGCACCACCTTGGTGAACACGAAGCCTCTCCTGGCATGCCCAGCTGTTTGTGCCTCCCTTTCCAGAAGTTCCCTCAACTAGAGCTAATTGCCTCCTCCCCCATCATTCCTAAGCTCCCTTAAAGTGCAGACACTGCCTTTTTTGCTTTGGTATCCCCAGGACTTGGCACACAGCCCTTCACGGAAGTGCTTAACAAACGTTTGTTGACTGATCCTTATCTGGTTTGTTTCTGGTGTCCTCAGTATGGGTTTAGCAATTCAAAGCGAAACAGAAAACCCCTGGATACCTCACTAAGCTTAAGAAAACACTGGCCCCAACGCTGAAAAGAAAACGATCTCCCTTCCTTCTCTTGGAGGCCAGGGGCACTCGGGTGTATGGTCAGAGAAGTGATGGGCTCAAGGTTGGACTAACACATTGTTTGGGCACGGATAATACAGAGATTTGTTTTGTGACTGTGTTTATTTGTTGCAAGGGTTTTGTTCTCTTCCCCCTCCCCCCAAGTGGAAAAGAGAAAATAGATTAATAGATTTATCAAAAAAAAAATTGTTTCAAAGGAAGACTTGTAGGATGGAGTAGATATATTCACAAATCAGCATGGCATAAAAAATAAATAGCATCACTAAAACATTTTAAAAATGAACCAAAGCAATTTCACCCTCCAGGTTCACGTACTCTTCTCTAATCAGGGACACTAAGGAAACTGCTGATGTACTTCTTATCGATGGATATTGTTGGATATGTTGAATAGTGAAAAATTTGAATGATTTTGCAAATGTCACAAACTGTTGTCACTTCAGTGGCCAAAATTAGGTTTCTGCTACATATGAATGAAAACGTGTTAAAAACTTTAAGGTTTTTAATCAGTCAGTGCTTTCTAACCTTGAATAGGTATTCTCATAGAACATAACACCTCTGAGGGTAAGAATATAATTATTTTCCTATATTACACTACAACTTGTCATTAACCTTGATAAGGACATGGTTAATTATTCTGGGCTGAGACAGATCTTATTATTTATTTGTTCTAGAAAGCTCCTAGAAAATGACCAGCCTATGGTTCATAGTGTTAAAAAAAAATATTTATTTATAAAAAATACAATGAGATCAGTTTATGCTGAGAAATGCAGCAATAAATACAGCTGAAGAAAACAAAGCAACAACTCTACATTGATACATTGGCACAAACAGGAAGGGTAAATGCACTGTCCAAACCTCAAACTTCTGCAGGCTTATTTTGTACAAGCTCCTTTAGTAACACTACTCTTTAAGTGTCTGGTCAGCTTAACTATTAGAATGAATACACGTTTAATCACAAATGCACATTGATCATGACTTTATTTAAAAATTAGCAAACAATACTGTAGAAACAATGATATTTAAATCTCTAAAATGCTGCATCTCAGATTTAGTTGGCAAAAAACACATTTAACAATAAGCATGAAAGTTTCAGTCTTCCATGTAGAAACCAGATACTAAACTGTAAAAAAAAGAGAGAGAGAGAGAGAGAGAGAGAGAAAAGCTTCATGTGGTCCATAAAATACCAGTTTAAAGTAGAAGATTGTAAAAATGCATAGATCTTTAATAAAAGAACTGGCTGTACAAAAGTACTCCCCTTTCACAGTATTCCTTTTTACTTCCTATGCGAATTATTGGTTATGCTGTAGAATCTAACTGTCACAGCACTAAAAGGCATCTATTTAGGGAAGAGGCAGAGAAAGGAAAAAGGAATGTATGTAAGGCAATCTTTCTTTTCAGTATAATAAGCATAATAATGTTTTAGGAAGACAAGATAAAAATTACACAAGGCTAGCTTGGTTTTCGCTGAATAAAACGACGGACTAATACTGAGCTTTTTCTGTGCAAATCTAATACTCAATGCCCTGGTCACTATATTCGTAACCTCTTGGATAGTCATCTTGGTACTCCGCGTGATATTCGTCTGGGTATTCTGCCTGATAATCATTATCACTGATTTCGGACCCGTTTGTTCCTGTTCCTTGGCTTCCATTATGTATCACAGGTTCTGTCGGAGCAGCACAATATTTGGGGTCATATACTTGTCGCCCAAGCCCATAGACACTCATTCCTTTCTGGGAAGCAACTTTGTTGGTACCCATCTGTAGTGAAATTGTCGAGTTGTCCACCGGTTGTAATGTTAGCTTCTGATCATAGATGTCTCTTCTGGTACCCGGTGCTAACATGCCAGCCTAGTATAAGAATATTCAACAGGAGAAAAAAATCAGAATAGTATCTGAAATCAACATCTGTGAACAAGTCTGGGATTCTTAACAAGCAAAATGTTCTTGTTGGGATACCAAGTACTCAAGTTAAAGCATTCTGACTGGAATACAAGTTAGCAGGAACCCTGATCAGTTTACTAGGTGTACCAAGATTACTGATTTTCAAATCTTATCTCATTCACCCTTTACACAACAGAGACTTCACAAATATCTGCTAATTTAAATAGCACATGCCCTGATAAACATCTACATGCCTAAGTGTGCACTGTGCTATATTGCCCTAGAATATATTTTATAAAACGGAATAATCCTACCAAGGAATTTTAAGCACAGAATTTTTGAGAAGCTTATCTTTTTCCCCCACTATAAACTTCCTGTTTTCAAAAGGGAATTGCATTTCATTTGGAAGTTCAGGTTTCCTATAATAGGGATATTTCCATGTTGTTCATGAGACATGGTCAATGTTAAAATTATAATCATAAGTATTTTGAATGTTTGCTAACTTTATTATTAAAAAAAAAAAGTACCACTTACCTGACTGGCTCCTTTGTTAGTACCCATCTGCAGACTGATTGTTGTCTGGTCAAAGGGCTTGTCAGTTTGCATTTTGGGATCATAAAGATGCCTCCTAGTGCCATAGGCAGTCATTCCTGCCTGGCTGGCACATTTATTGGTTCCCATCTTTTAAGAAAATGAAAAAAAAAATCTATATAGTCACAACTGTGAAAAACAGGTCAAAAATTCAGAAGACAAGCTTTTAAGAATTCTATTACTATTAGTGAAATATGATTCTAATTCTATTCTCAAAGAAAGGCTATCCCTGTGTTAACAGATTAGTGTCTCTAAGACCATATTGTTTTAGCAAACAACAACAGGCCTGGTTTTACAACTCTAAGGTTTCTTTAATTATCTCAAGGAACCCTGAATTCTGCATAACAAAAATTAACTTAAATTTTACTTTAATGACATTCAGCACTTTAAAGTAGAAAAGTGTTGAGGCTCTAATTGTTTCATTTCTCAAAACTCAGAAATGAAAATAGCTTGTTTAAAGCCTATGATGGGGAGGGCCAAGGTAAAAAAAAGAAAAGGGAAGTTACTCTTCTGTCCAGGACTCTCTCTTGAGTCAGAAAAATCACCTATAAGACTTTATTATATAAAAGTAGAAGAAAACATCAGTGGTGTCCTCAAAGAAATACAGAGGCTCCTAACGTTAAGACAGAAGCACACCTTCATGTGTTGGGCAAGGTTCCCATTTTGTGAGGAATCACTTTTATTTGCCTCAGTTTTAAGCCTGTTATGTATGCACTGTTGGGTTTTGGGGGGGTATTTTGGGGGGGAGGTGCAGGAGGACAGGAAAGAAGGAAGAAAGAAAAAAGACTTGCTGCCTAAATTGAGCTTCTTAGCAAAGCCTGCCAACAGAGGCATTTGTGTCATAGCAACAAATGGCAAGGGTATCTCTGCAGGATAGTTTAAAGATGTACCAATACATTCCTACCTCTATATATTTGGGGGTGGGGGATGAGGAGGAAGAGATAAAAAAGGAAATACTGATTTAATCTAGACAATCCTAAAAGCTGTTTCTGACCCAGTGAAACAATGACAGACCCACACAAAGATCGAGCCTCAACCCCACCTCCTATCACTCACTGCCTAGTCCTTGTTGGTTTTCCAGGCTGTCAATCCCCAACAACTCCAGAATCTTGAATGTTTTAATGACTTCAAGTCAAAGCAGTAAAGGAAAGTTGGGTCTGAGTGAGAATGGTAAGGTTGCTAAATAATTACAAATATGGTCTTAGTCCCAAATATTCCTAAAGCCTCTTCTGGGAATGTACTGCTGTACGGAATTACACCATTTTTAATGTTTGGTACACCTTTCCAGGATTCAGATTAAATCACTGCACTCGTTTCGGGGTCTCCAGGCCCTCGTTATCCTCTATGCTCTACCCATTCTTTTCAGCCTGGTCCTGTGTATATAAAAATGACTTTCCAGACTAACAGATGCAGCCTGAGTTATCAGGCCAGTCTGCCCATTATAATCTAGAACAAGTACGAGCAGAAATTATCTTTTTAAAAAAATGCCTTTGGTAACAAGGGAATAAAAGGAATGTCCTTCCTTATCCTGATAATTGATAAGGTACAGAGAAAAAAAGATATTCACACGTTTAGGAGCATTTGTTTTAGTAATGGTGACCTTAGAAAATGATACCCATTTTCATATATAGTATACCATCTGAAGCACAGGGCATATGATCTGCTCAAAGACCTCAGCTAACACACTGAGAGCCTGAGGTCCACATGAAATCTTTCTTTGGTTCCACTGCATTATGAGTGACTCCATTATGGGCAAACTTTCTAAGCACACATTTATATAATTACAAAAATTGTGTGCCCAAAGGAATTTTCCCCAGGTTTCTCTGACTTGGTTTCATTTGCTTGGATATTCCTAATCCTAAATAAAACAAAGCTGCAACATCCACACTTAACCAGTTAAGTTTTGAATACATCTAAGTCTTATGCTGAAACATTCATATTTTATAAAAAGAAAAAAAAAGCTACATCACTTGCATGAGTTAAAACTTTGCAAAATGAATTTCCTTAAAATAAACACACCACCAACTTTAGTTAACAGACACATTTCAAGTATTTTCTTTGAGGAGGGAATGTTAAAGTCAGTCACTATGTAAGCAGTTACCCTTACAACTCCTTAAGCGTGATTTTCAGGTAAATCTTACCTTCAACATGTCATTATCTCACTGGGCAATATACTTCAGGGGAAGTCTCTAGTTTGTACTATCCAACAATCTATAAAGAGCCTTTTTATGACTGTCTTTGTCCTCCCTCCCACTTACCCACCCTCAACCCCACCTCCATTTCCTTAGTTGTTACAGAAATAAGCCTGAGCAAAATGACATAACATTATGTTATGAGCAAAATGATGTAACATCCTTAACCTCCTCACAGCAGGTTAAGGAGTGTATAAAAACTAACCATATGGCTATTTTGTATAATGTACAAAATTTGTACAATGTACAAAAATGTACATTAGGAAGCATATAAATAATGTCACATGTGACTTACCTGCAGGCCAATTACACTTTGTCCAGCTTTCAGTTTTCCTTCATCAAAACGCCTTGCTTGCTTTTCTGCATATTTGACACCAATATCAATTGTTGTATGGAATCCTTTTGTCTTAGCCTAGATGTAATTAAAAAACATTTCAGGATGACAGATCACTTAAAACTTTACCACTAGAATCTTACAATGGAAGGGGGAAAATGATACTATACCTGGAAGAATTAAGGTATCAAAATGTTTGTATAAATTTCTTTAAATGGTAAATATCAGTATATTTTACCTAATTTTTGAAATATGGGACAAATTCTCTGATCAAGTCATACTAATACAAGTATGACTCCCTTGTAGCAGTTCATTTTCTGCTGAAAGTTATTTTCCCCAAACCTTCAATATTTTAGTCTGTCACCAACAGTTATTTTATTCTAGTTAATAGACATATACATACCAGACCTGCTAAAGCTACCAGTGTAGTCTGAACTTGGGTCATGTTTCCATTCTCAAAAAGATCATTTGCTTCAAAGATGTCATGTGGTTTCATACCATAAGCCTGAATGGCTTTGATAAAATTGCCAATGTTCTCCAACTGAAAAAGGAAAAGACAGTCAAGTCAAACTTCTGGGACCAAACAGTCTAGTGCACAAGGCCCAGGCATTAGTAAAAAATCAGCCTAGTTATATATAAAATGGTCTATAAAACCACCTAGAAAAGACACTTCACACAGCAGGTACTAAAGAAATGCTTGTTGACTTGACTTCACCTATGATATGCTATTCATAATGGGCAAGATAAGACAGGGACTTATAATGTAAAGGAATATAAACATACAAATAACAACAATACTAGGTAGTACCTACTAAGCGCCATGTAAGATCTGCAGAGGTAAACAGGAAGAGAACATTTCAGGGGGACAGAAACAGAATAAGTGAGGACCATTTGGGGCAGCACAGGTAACAGAGACGAGTGGTTCATGTTTGGAGACTTTGTTCTGTGGGCAGAAGGAAGCCACAGAATGCTTTTCTGAGCCAGGTAGGAACAGGAGTAGAATGATGCTTTAGTAAAATTAATCTGGGAGCACTGAATAAACGAGACTGGAAGAGAAAGGGGAGGAATGACAGAAAAGGGAACCCAATTAGGAGGGTACTGGTCAAGGTAATGTGGATCTGAATTGAGGTAGAGGCAATGGGACTAAAAAAGAAGCAGCTGGGTAGTACAGTGGTTAGAACGCTGCACCTGGAGGCAGGAAAACCTAAGGTCAAATATTAGACTCAAACAGAGGTATGACCCTGGGCAGGTCACTTAACTTCTCCCATCTATAAAATGGGGATAGTAACAGCAACTATTACCTGGGGTTGCTGTGAAACTCAAGTGAAATAAATTCTGTAAAATGCTCTGCAAATCTTAAAGTTCTATATAAAAGTTAAGATGGACAGTAAGACAATATGTGATGGTAAAATCTACAAAATTGCGCAAAGGAATGAAAATGTGGGATGGATTTCCAGTCTGCATGACAAGCATGACGTTTGGAAATAAGAGGAAATCATTGGCATTTCAGAGAAGACATACTAGATATACTCATTAAATATGCATATGATAAATCTGAAAGGCCCTGCTAGATGAAAGAATCAGTATTCAAAAATATCCTGATGGGCTGGAAGGATGGACAGGTTTAGCCTAACGCTATTACAATTACTTTTATACCATCTATACTTGTGTTCCAACTTTTCACACGCTAGAGAATTGGGATGGTTAATTAAATAAAGGCTCATTTGTGAGTCACTCCATGCTAATGAGATAAAATCAGAGGCTGCCATTACAGTGTTCAAAACAAAAATGTGTGTGCGTATGAGTATGTGAAAATAGAGAGGGAAAATAGAGAGTTGATCCGCTATCTATGTTCAATTTTGAGCTGTGCATTTTAAAAGGAATACTTGCAAAATAAGAGTTTTGCTTAAAGGAAGCAACCAGGATGGCAAGGGAAATCCTATTATAAGGTATGGGCTGTTCAGCCATGGTTGCAAATCTTCAAGTACAAGAAAAGAAAAAGTAAACTTGAGGAAAACAGATTTGGGCTCATCGAGGAATAAAACTTTAACCAATCAAACAGATAGATCCTGGCACATTTCCAGGAGTTGGACATTATCAGGCAAAATTATTACCTGGTTTATTACAATTTCCAAAACATGTCTGAATGCTGCCTGTTAGTGCAGAGGCAGACAAGGCACAATACACTCTACAGCTGTGAAGGCTGAGGTGTCAGCCTAACTCATTTCTGCCCCAGACTGCTACGGGACTCTAGGCAAGCCACTTAATAACCACTCACTCAGTGCCCAAGAAACTCTCCAGGACTTCCAGTCACAGAGCTGGTGCCTCTCTGCACTGCTGAGGGGCATGCACATGAATGCTTCCTCCTTGAATTCCCCAAATCCACAAACGCCCAGAACCAGTTAAAAGGAGTGTGTCAATCGACAGATATACATTCACTCACACCCCCACATGTAACACTGCATTCTACCTAACCCATCTCACTCACCAATAAACCTATTATACCCATTACAAGACTATATTCAGACCAATCATCGGGCTGCTTATTTCAAACCACAGCCAGATTTTTGAAAGATCTGTAACCATAAAGTCTAGGAATACTTCAGAATTCTTGTGAAAAGGAAATGTTTACTCAAGTTTTTGACAAAATGGCTGTGCTGAAATGTAACTTGCAAGCGCTTTTATTATGTTGATTAGGTAGATATCAACCAAAGCTGCTGAGCTGTGTGTTTTTCATTTTCTGCTTACCTGAGGCCAATTTAATGAAGATTCATTGACTTTCTTCACTGAACCTGGCTGGAGTTTGTTTATAAGTCTGAAAAGAAAAAAAAAATACTCAACAAAAACATGGACATACAAATCTTGTCATTTTAAAAGTTAACCACAACAAAAATACCAGAAATATAAGGACTACAGGAAACTTGTGTGATTCTGATTCTTAAAGTAACTAGTAAAAAGAGTTCCAACTTGGAGAAAAGGAAAAAAAAAGACAGGTCACACTAAAAAAAATGTAAGAAAGGAGACAAGCCTGGACTATCAAGAATAAATCTATTGGGTGAATGAACACTTACTCGCAGAGGATTATGCCATCTTTTAAGCCCAGCTGAAAGTTTGTCCCAATGCTCAAGCCTGTAACTTCTTCTATCCAGTTGCGAAGATCTTCCTCTGCCTGATGGTCATATTTGGAGGCAATCTGTAAAACAGACATTTTAGAATTAAAGATTTCAAGAAAATACTGGTACTGACTAGCTTTTTATTACCCATTAAGATTAAAGCTAATATCATGGAGCAGTTTACCCTATATATTTCATTGGCTGGTCTAGTCAGAGATTGTAAGTAATAAAGTTAAAATACTATCTTTTATGTTTTTCATGACTTTACATGTATAACTGATATATTGTTTGTCTTCTCCATGGATGGGGGAGGGGCTAGAGGTAGGAAGAAAAGAAGGGACTCAAAAATTTCAAAAATGACTGTTAAAGTGGAATTTTAAAATACAAAAAAACCTGTTACTTTCCAATCAGCAAACTGAGGCTCAGTAAGGTAAAATTACTTATTTATACTAGGATTCATAATTAATAACGGCTGTAACTAGGATTCAAACCAAGCTCCCCAAACATATTGCTTTTTCTACCATACAACATTATTACAGTAACAAAATTAAAGAAAAAATTCTTCTAAAAAATATTCAAAGCCATCCAAAAATTTAAAGCCAAATTCACATGGGGAGCAAAATGAAAATGTACATGTAATTTAGAGAGCTAGGTAACTAGTTACCAATCAAGTACCTTGTTGCTAAGTTCAGGATAAATTCCACATCTTCAAAATAAATTTGCCAGTTTAAATAGACAAAAAACTTTGTGCTAAACAGTTCTCTTTTATCTATTCAATAAATAATGAGTGAGTTTCTAGTATACACAGTACCTAAGTATATGGGACATAACCCAACACACTTCCGGACACTATATCAGTTTTTTCACAGAAGACTCCTGCCATGCCCAAAGAAGCTGATATTATAGTCAGCAAATAATTTTTAAAGTTATCAAATAATAATCTCAACAAATACAAGTAAAATAAATAAGGACTTGATTTGAAAGCAAACCATAGAATCCAGCTAAGTTCTTTTAAACAAAATTATGTTAGGCATTGTGTTTACTTCCCATCTGTCATCTGTATGTAGTTTGGGTCTTATTTTTTAACTGTCACCCCATGCAACCCTCAGCTGCCCCCTTCTCCCAAAGAGCCATCCCATATGACAAAGAGTATTTTCTGGAGAAGGAAAAAGAAAAATCAACACAACTGGTCAATACACTGAAAAAGTCCAAAAACTTGTACAATAAGTATTACCAGTAGACCTCCCACCTCCACCAAGGGTTGGGGAATTTTTTGGTATATTTTCATTCCAGTCCCAATTGATCTTTATAATTTTGTTACATTTGCTTTTGGTTTTTTGGTGTGTCATTGCTCTTTCCACTTATATTGTTATAAGTCACTGTGTATGTTGTTTTATTGACTCTGCTCACACTTCACTGTATCAGTTCATATTGATTTTCCCATACTTCTGTGCATTCATCATTTCTTAGGGCACAGTAATATTCTATTGCATTCACGTACCACAATTTGTTTAGCCATTCAAGTATATCTACTTGTTTCCAATTCTTAGCTATCATAAAGTGCTAGTACAAGGATATTTTTTCCTTATCAATGGCTTCCTTGGGATATTAAGGCACTAATGGAGTCTCTAGTTCCAAGGGTAGGGACCTATTAGTCACTTTATTTGCATAATTTCAAATTGCTTTCCAAAATGATCATATCATTTCACAGCTCCACCAACAATGTATTGGTGTTCCTATCTTTCCATAACCCCTCCAACATTCTTGTCACCAAGTTTCTAATCATGGGGTAAAACCTCAGGGCTGTTTTCATCTGCATCTCTCTTAATTGAGATCTGGAGCATTTTATCATGTGGTTGTGAACACTTTGCAGAACTGTTTGTTTATATCTTCTGACCATTTGTTTATTAGGGAAAGGCTATTCATTTTATATGTATTTATTAATTGTTCACATATATATATACACACACACATGCACACATATATATATATATATGTACACACACACACACACACACACACACACACACACACACACACACACACATATATGTTTAAAAAAATGGAATAGTGGATACAGTGCTGGGCCTGGAATCAAGAAGACTCATTTTCCTGAGTTCAAATCTAGCCTCAGACACTTAACTAGCTGGGTGACCCTGGGCAAGTCACTTAACCCTGCTTGCCTCAGTTTCCTCATCTGTAAAATGAGCTGGAGAAGGAAATGGCAAACCACTCCAGGATCTTTGCCAATAAAACCCCAAATGGGGTCACAAAGAGTTGGACATGACTGAAATGACTGAACAACATCTTGGATATATCTAATTGTTTTTTCTTAATAGTTCTAATGAATGTGTATGCTGTCCTAATTCTTCAATTATACATCTTTCAGTGTTTCTTTGTAGACTTCATGTCTGTCAAATCAAATGGCATCTATTTACCATTTACTCTGTGCCAGGCACTAAGCTAAATGCCTAGAATACAAAGAAAGGCAAAAATAGTCCCTGCCTTTAATGAGCTCACATTCTAACAGAGTCAGACAACACCATTGCTGATTCTCCCTTATTTAATTTGTTCCACCGACCTATGTATCTGTTTTTTTAACCAGTACTAAATCATTTTGGTGATTGTTTTCTTATAAAATAGTGTGAAGGCTAGAAGGGCCATTACCTCTTCATTCTTACCTTTTTAAAATTATTTCTCCCTTGATTTTCTATCTTATGCCTCTAAGTTAACGGTTATTTTATCTAATGTCTGTAAAGCATCCCTATGGTCGGACTGGCATAGCTAATCTGTGGATTAGCTTTGGTAGTATGATGCACTGGGTTTCTACTAGAATTGCCTTGCATTTGCTTCCTTGAGTCACACCAGTATTACTGCTTCAAACTTGAAATGACTAAATATTCAATATTCTAGACTAGTGCAGATAGCCACGTTCCAGGCCTCCCAGCTTCAAGTCTCTCCTCACTCCTAAACATTTTTCACTCAGCTACTAAAGTAATTTTCCTAAAAGCAAAGGTCTACCTGTATCAACCCATCCTCAGTAAACTCTAGTGGTTTTCTATTACTTCCAGGATCAAGTATAAAGTCCTCCTGCATTTAAAGCTCTTCATAACCTAACCCATTCCTACCCACCACCTCCATAAGCCCTGAACACCAGCTTAACAGCTGTTCCTCACACAGGGTACACCACCTATTTCTTTGCTGTTTGCCTCCCCTTTTTCCCCCACGCCTGAAATGTTTTCTCTTCTCACCTTTACCTCCTAACTTTCTGGACTAGGTGGCTGCTGATGTCCCTTTCAGCTCTCAAATTCAGTGATTTTTTTTTTTAGTATTGCCTCACAAAACAGATAAAACTAGTGGAATTGAAAATAAATCTATAGTAATAAAATCAGTGTAAAACCCACATAAGCTGCATCATCTTTAGAGTACTTCTAGCTGAAACTGGATAGAGGACAAACAATAAAACAGAATGTTAGCTTTCTTCTTTCTTTTTTTTTAAAATTAAATTAACCAAAGGCTTATCTATTTTATTGGGTTTTTCATAAAACCAGCTCTTAGTTTTATTACTTCAATAGTTTTCTTAATTTCAATTTTATAAATTTTTCTTTTGGTTTTCAATATTTCTAATTTGGTGTTTAGTTGAGGATTTTTAATTTGTTCTTTTTCTAGTTTTTTTTCTAATTGTATGCCCAATTCATTAATCTCCTCTTTTTCTATTTTATTTATGTAAGCATTTAGAGATATAAAACTTCCCCTAAGAACTGCTTTCGCTGCATCCCATAGGTTTTGGTATGTTGTCTCATTATTGTCATTCTCTTGAATGAAATTATTGTTTCTATGATTTGTTGTTTGACCCAATCTTTTTTAGGATTAGATTATTTAGTTTCCAATTATTTTTTAGTCTATCTTTCCATGGCCCTTTATTTACATATAATTTTTATTGCATCATGATCTGAAAAGGATGCATTTAATATTTCTGCCTTTCTGCATTGGATTGTGAGGTTTTTATGCCCTAGTACATGGTCAATTTTTGTGTATGTGCCATGTACTGCCAAGAAAAAAGTATATTCCTTTCTATCCCCATTCAGTTTTCTGCAGAGGTCTATCATACCTAACTTTTCTAATGTTCTATTCACCTCCTTAACTTCTTTCTTGTTTACTTTGTGGTTAGACTTATCTAGTGCTGAGAGGGGGAGGTTCAGGTCCCCCACTAGTATAGTTTTGCTGTCTATTTCTTCCTGTAACTCCCTGAGCTTCTCCTGTAAGAATTTGGATGCTATACCATTTGATGCATACATATTTAGTAATGATATTACTTCATTGTCTATGGTGCCTTTTAGCAGGATGTAGTTTCCTTCCTTATCTCTTTTGATTAGATCTATTTTTGCTTTTGCTTTGTTGGAGATCAGGATTGCTACCCCTGCTTTTTTCACTTCAGCTGATGCATAATATATTCTGCTCCAGCCTTTTACCTTTACCCTGTATGTGCCACTCTTTTTCAAATGTGTTTCCTGTAAACAACATATTGTAGGATTATGGTTTTTAATCCATTCTGCAATCCGTTTCCGTTTTATGGGAGAGTTCATCCCATTCACATTCACAGTTATGATTACTATCTGTGTCTTTTTCTCCATCCTTTTTCCCCCATTTATGCCTTTCTTTCTCCTTTTCTTCTCCCCTTCACTAGTGTTTTGCTTTTGACCACGCCTCCTTCAGTCCCTTCCCCTTTTATTATCCCTTTCCCTTTTCTTCTTTAGTCTTACTTCCCCTCCTTCTTTCCCCCCTCCCTTTTCTTTCCCCTTTTCCCTCCTACTGCCTATAGGGCAAGTTAGATTTCTATACCTAACTGATTATATTATGCACTTCTTGAGCCAAATCTGATGAGAGTAAGGTTCAAACAATGCTCCCCCCTTCTTTCCCTCTGCTGTAATAGGATTTTGTGTCTTTTCCTGTAATGTAATTTACCTTGTCTGCCTCCTCCTTTCTCAGTACATTTTCTAAGATCAGATTGATCCACTTATTTGGATCCATTTAACCCACTTGATTAGATTTTTTTTATCATTACATCAAAGTCAACTAA